CACACACACACACACAAATTCAATTGATTTGAAAATTTTGAATCCAATCGATTGGAACTGATCGAAAAGATTGGATCGATTCAATCGATTCGATCCATTTGAATCGATGGATTCGAATTGATTGAATCGATTGAATCGATTCATTTGATTGAATCGTGTGTGCGTGCGTGTGTGTGTTGGGGGGGGGGGGATGCTCCACCCCCGCCCACCCCAACGTGTTCAGCATTTTCTTTTTTTTTAACTCCATATAGCCCAGAAAAGTTTTACGGGGTCTGCGGACGGTGCGCAGACAACCCCCAATTTTTTATTTTATTTTTCCCACTTTAAAACGCCGAAAAGACCCCGGACAACGGCCCTACCAGACGTGCGACGAAGACATCCGGCCCAGCTGTCCGGTCATCGGACAGCTGGTACCATAGGTTTCCCTATACTCTTAAAGAATGCAAAGGGCCCAGCGAAATTCGGTGTGGAGGCGGGCGGGACTGGGGCAAGCTAAATCGGCCACGGCGTTTCGTGGCGGGACTGCGGGCGGGAGTGAGGGAAATTCGGTGTGGCGGCAGGCAGACTGGTGCAAGGCATATCAGCGGCTGTGAAGGGCCCGACGTGACGCTTCCCAGCAGGCTCAGGGAAAATCGGTCCCGCGCGGCAGGCCCACAAAGCGGACCGAGTGAGGTAATACGCGCGGCACCTGGAAGACGCAGATTCGAAAACCACGCGGAGCACTCGGAAGGGAGCGGGCGAACGCGGTGGTTTTTTTTTTTTTTATCCCCCGCCTTTTGGGGGGGGTTTCGTGTGCTTCTGTTCAGGTGCCGTTTGGAAAGTGGGAGGAGAAGCTCACGCTAAGGGGAGGAGGAGGTTGTGCAAGCAGAAGGAGGAGGTTGTGCAAGCGGAAGGAGGTTATTCAAGCGAGAGGAGGAGATTGCTAGGGGAAGGATGACATCGCACAAGGGGGAGGAGGAGGTCGGAAGGGAGGTTGGAGGAGGTCGCACGACGGGGAGTAGGAGGTCGTGCAAGGAGGAGGAGGTTGTGCGAGGGGGAAACGGACGTTGCGCAAAGGGAAGGAGGAGGTCGTACAAGGGGGATGAGGAGGTGGGAAGAGGATGTGCGAGGGGCAGGAGAAGGTCGCACAAGGATTGGGAGGAGGTCGCGCGAGGGGGAGGAGGAGGTCGAGCAAGGGAGAGGAGGTCGGAAGAGGGGGAGGAAGTCGGGCGGGGGGGAGGAGGGAGTCGCGCGAGGGGGAGGAGAGGGTTGCGTGTGGAATAGGAGGAGTTCGGAAGAGGGGGGCCAGCAGGTCGCGCAAGGACGAGTAGGACGTCGCACGAGGGGGAAGAGGAGGTAGCACAAGGGAGAGGAGGAGGTCGGAAGAGGGGGAGGAGTGGGTCGTGCAAGGGGGAGGATGAGGTTGTGCGAGGGGAAGGAGCTGGCAGCACGAGGAGGACGAGAGGTTGCAGGAGGTCGTGCGGAGGTCAGAAGGGAGGTGGGAGGAGGTTGCACGAGTGGTATGAGGAGGTTGGAAGAGGATACGTGGGAGGAGGTTGCACGAGTGGTATGAGGAGGTTGGAAGAGGATACGTGAAGGGGAGAAGGAGGTCGCGCAAGGAGGAGGAGGAGCTGGATGAGGTCGGAAGAGAGGTGGGAGAAGGTCGCGTAAGGGGGAGGAGGAGGTCAGAAGACGATGTGCGAGGGGGAAGAGCAAGTCACGCAAGGGCGGGGAGGAGGAGGAGGTCGTGCAAGGGGGAGGAGGAGGTCCAAAGAGGGGGAGGAGTAGGCCGTCCACAGGAGAGGAGAAGGTCGTGGGAGGGGTAGAAGCAGGTAGCACGCTGGGGGCGAGAGGTTGCAGGAGGTCGTGCGGGAGGGGGAGGAGGAGGTCGCACCAG